AGGACGGGGCGGAAGGAGGCGCCCTGCGGCGGCAGAGCAAAACCGTGCCCGCTGACAGCGGGGTCAGGCGCGTGGCGGGGGCGGCGCCGCCGGCGGCCTTGAAAGAAGGGGGGGCGCCGAGGCGGTCCAGCGGTGCGAGAAGGGAGGTCGACTAGGGGAGAGTTCGGCGTTGCTGCGCCGACTGCTCGAGGCCTGCGAAGGAGCGCTCGAGGACGTGCTTCTGGGCCGGCCGCGCGGCGTGGTGCTCCTCTTGCGGGGCGCTCCAGAGGTCGCTACATATTCGACCCCTACTCAGGCGCCGGAGATGTCGCGCGGGCAGCGATCCAGCAGAGTTGCAACGCTCGCGCGTAGGATCGGGCCCGCGGGCCTGAGGAAGACCTGGCGGACCCGAAGGTGCTGGGCATTCTGTCGATCAGATGCAGAGAGGTGCCGGGAGCGGTGCTGGGCCCTCCGTGTGACGTCTGGGGAGGGGCCGCCGACCGCGGTCGTGATGGCCCCATTCGCTCGACGAGAGAGCCGTGGGGGCTACCCGAGGTGTCGCTCACTCAGCGGCAGAGTGAGAGGTTAAGGCACGGCGACAGAGTTGTTCGCTGTGCTTTGCTTGTGCTTTGTGGGCTATGCCGCTCCGTCCCCATCATATTAGAGCTTACCGTCAATTTTCTGATCTGGCAGGATCTCGAGCCCCTGGGGGCCGCCCGCGTGTTTGGGGGCCGCAGGGCTTGGGTCTTCGGGCTTGGATGTCTTGAGCGAGAGCCTCATGCGTCTCAGGCTCTCGCCGTTTGCTGTTCCCATCGACTGCCGTCGAGTTCGCGTCGACGCGTGGCACCTTCTGGCATAAGCTGTCCCCGCGAGGAAAGTACAGCAGCACCTGTGTGTGCTTGAGGGGTATTGTTGTTTCGGATGATGTCTCCTTTTGCCATGATCTATGCTCGAGCCAGGTGCCATCTCTCGCCCCCTGGCCCGCCCCTGTCAGGATGTCTTGAGCGAGAGCCTCATGCGTCTCAGGCTCTCGCCGTTTGCTGTGCTCCGATCGACTGGCGTCGAGTTCGCGTCGACGCGTGGCACCTTTTTGCAGAGGCTGTCCCCGCTGGGAAAATACATCAGCACCTATGTGTACGTACATGTCTATATATATATATATATATATCATTTTATGTCGATGTCTACCGTGCACGTACACGTACGCGTATATGGAGATGTACATGTAAGTGAACATGAATAGGTCTATGTATATGTATCTGTATTTGCAACTTAATATGCAAGTGAACTTTGAATTTGTATATGTTTACGTATCTGTATATGGATGTGATTATGTATTGTGATGTGTATATGTAAATGGGTATGAAGAGGTGTAGGTATATGTATATGTAACTGCACATGTATGTGGATATTGGTATCGATGTGGATATGTCTGGGACACAGGTTTTATGTTTATGTATATGTAGATGCTTAGGCATGCGTGTATATATGTATATGTAAATGTATATGGGTATGTACATGTGCATGTATGAGTCTGTACATGTATGTATATGTTTCTGAACACACATATTTATAGGAATGTCTTTATATGTATATGTTCACGTGTATGTATATGTATATTTGTTTTTGGGTGTGTATGAATATATCATATGCAATTACATTTGCATATGTAATTGCAAGTATCTCTACACATGTATATATGTATGTCTGTATATATACGTATAAATGTGATTGTCTATGTATACGTATATGTATATGCATATGTATGTGTAACTGTACGTGAATATGTATATGTAGAATTGTATGAGTATGTACATGTTTCTGTATGTGCATAGTCATTTGTATTCATATAGGTATATGCATCTGTGTACACACATACGAATTGTAGCCATATTTTTGTCACGTCCTATCATTACATATTATCGCATAGCATATTCTGTTAAATTCTACCATTTCCAGTTATAGTATATCATAGTACAGGATATTGCATTCGTCCTATCATATCTTATTCAAATTGTACACTTTATCTTAATATGATGTAAATTTCATATAACGTTATATATCATAATATAGTTTAGTATGTTATGATATAGGTATCATAATCATATCTTACAACATAGTACAATCGAAAAGGGTAGAATGTTAGGTATTGTGCTATATTATTGCATGACATATTACAATATAATGCAATAGAATCTCATATAGTACAATGCACCATACTGTAATACAATTTGGTATGGGAAACATAGGATATTTGAGCAGTATGTAACAGTATATGATATGTAACATTCTATTATACATTATACTACATAGTAGTATATTGTTATAGAGTACGCCATAATATTTGTAATATCATGCAACATAATATATTATGATATCACATAATATACCGTACTATGATAAATTATAATTCAATGTAATATACCATAATCGGATATATACTATGATATGATAGAATATATTATAATATAGCGCAATATCGGAGTGTTGGCCCCCCGGCCGCGCCCGGGACACAATGACAAATGGGGCCACCCCCTGGGTAACCCAATTTGGCTCCCGGGGCCCGGTGCCTGCTTTCGGTCCTTTGCGGGGCGGTTCCACCCCCAGGAGCGTTCCAAGAGCATCCACGATCGCCTCCAGACGGCCTAAGAGGCTTCTTAAACGACCCCATAGCGCCCCAATAGCGCTCGAAGACCGCTTAAGGTGGCCTCAAGACTTCCCAAGAGGCTCCAGAGAGGACCCCCACGAAGCAAAAATCGTCCCATTCCCTTTCTGGAAAACGTGCAATTTTGGCATCATCGCTTGTTTGGTTTCGAGAGCGTCCAAGGTGGCCCACGAAGCCCCCAAGGTCGCTCCAAGACGGCCCAGGAGGCCCCCAAGAGGGCCCCAAGACGGCCCGAGAGAGCTCAATGACGGCCCAAGACCCGCAAGGCTCCCAAGAGAGCCCCGAGAGAGCCACAGGGGGGGCACCACAGAGCCCCAGGAGCGCCCCAAGACGGCCCCAGCCACCCAGGACTGCCCAAGATCGCTCCAGGACGGCCATCGAGGGCCCCAAATGAGCCCCAAGAGGCTCCAAGAGGGCTGCAAAAAAGGCCAAGTGAGAAACAAATTAAGAAAGGAGAGCCACACGAGAGAGACCTGGGAGAGAACGGGCACGGGAATATTCAGACGGGGAGGGAAGGGACGGGGGTGCCTAAGAGGAGGGGAAGGATGATGCTCAGAAGGAGGAGGAGGAGGAGGAGAAGGAGGAGGAGCAGGAGAAAGAAAACGAGGTGAAGGGAGACGTGCACTATTCATTGCGGCACGGATTGTGCAGGAACCCATCCAGGTTTTCAGCGCCTGTGAAGCGCGTGCGATCAGGGAACGGAATTCGAAATTGGATCGGGAATCGATACATGAAACAGCCGAGGCCTGTTGACAAGGGGTAAGGAGATGACCGTGAAGCTGGCGAGAGGAATGGACCCATCATGAATGAGTTGGCTCGCGAGATGTGTTGTGCGTGTGGTAACTATTGAGCAATCGATTTGCACTCGAATCGCCCCTGCATTCCTCAGTGGCACATATGTAATTTGCCATGTGCGTTCCTTGTGCATGGCTAGAACCTAAGCGCGCGCGAAGCTCGCGCGTGGTCCTCGTATGTATATGTATATGTTTATGTCTAGGTATATGTATTTGCATATGTATATGTATATGTACATGTTTTTTTATATGCGTATGTGCATGTACATGTACATGCATACGCATGTATGACTACATCTATAGACATATATATACAGATCATAGGTCCAGGGACATGTAGTTTTTTGATGTTTATATGTGTATGTTTACATATTCATATACATATGTATGCATATATATATATATATATGTACATGTATATTATCCGTACAATTATATGTATGTGTACATGTACGTGTATGTGTACATGCGCATGCATTTGCATATGTATGTATTTATGTATATGCATACACATGTATCTGTATATGTATATGTTTATGTATTTGTATATGTATATGTATAGGCATATGTTTATTCATATACACATGTATAGGTATATGTATATGTTTATGGAACTGTATTTTTTATGTAGGTGGATGTGTGTATGTATGGGTATATGTATATGTTTGTATATTTGTACACATATCCACATATGCTTGTATGTACATATTCATAAACACATGTATATCTGTCTGCATGTATGTTTATGCATATGCGATGTTTATGTATGCATGCATATGCGTATGCATGTATATCTGTATATTTACGTACATATGTATGGATGCATGCATGCATGCATGTATGTATGTATGTATGTAGGCATGTATTTATGTGTTTACATGTATTTATGCATGCATGTATGTATGTAGGTTTGTGTATGTATGTATGTATGTATTTAGGTATGTATGTATGTATGTATGTATGTATGTATGTATGTATGTATGTATGTATGTATGTATACATATACACAAATGCTAACACGCATTACATACATTTTGACGATGCAATCGTGTGACATGTATGTTTGTATATTGTCCTGGCCGGAACACACACTTCGAGTATTTTTCCGAGGCACTGGAGCAAGAGTTCGAGCAAGAACGCCTCCAGCGCATCAGGCCCACGAGAGCGCCGCGAGGGGCAGTGCCCGTGTTTGTTCCCGTCCGCAGCTTTTGGCTCCAGTCACGGGCTCAGTGTCTTTGGGCCTCCATGATGGGGTCGGAAGGGAAGATCTCGCCGCATCGCCCATACATTGCCGATGCATCGGCGATGCGGTTCGATGTGGAGACCGATCTTTTCACGCCGACGTCGCCCATACAGCGCCCACGTCGCGGGCGCATCTGCGATGTAGCAGCGATGCATCGCCGATGCGGCGCGTTCCTCCGACCCCATCTATTCCGTCCCCATCTTGGAGGAGTCTGGTGTCCGAATTCCCGTGTGCTGTTTCCTCCTTTCCCTCCTTTGCCCCTCGGCCCTCGGATGCGTCCGGCAGCGCGGTCACTGGGTCGCAGAGCCTTCCTGGTCAGGCGGAACTCGATTTGGGAGCCCCCGCCAGTCCTGTTCGCGTCTGCGTGCAGGCGCCGCGCTTCTGCCGCTCAGATCCAGCCGCACGTGTCCGCCCTTCTGAGGCCCGCAGGCGGGCGGCGTTGTCTGTGGTTAGTGGGCGGCGCCAGCTCTGCGCGCGAGGAGAGCACACGCGCGGCCATCTTGGCCGCCGCGGGTCAGTCCTTGCTGTTCAGCTTCGCGGAGCACGCCAGCCACAGCTTCGAGGTCGTGCTGGAGTGCTTGGAGGACGCACTGGCGGCAGCCGTGGGGGAGGCCGTGGCGTCGGGCGCGACCGAGGCCGACGTGTGGCGCGCCGTTGCCCAGAGGCACCCAGACCTGGTGCACGAGCTCGCGGACTTCGCCGCGGCCAGCGCCGAGGCTCCGACGGCAGCGGCCGCCTCCGCGGGCCAGAGTCCGGCGGAGGTCTTCCTGAGCCTCTCTGGCCAGGTGGGCGCGGCCGAGGCGCTTCGTTGCGTGGCAGCCAGCGCTGAGCAGCAGGAGAGTCCGCAGGGCTACTTGGACCGCCCGAGCGGAAAACGCCGAGTCATGTACCTCCTGACGGCACTTGAGGCCGCCGTGGCCAGCGCTGGTTTGCGTGCCGTTGTCGCGTTTCTCCACGTGGACACGCTGACGCGGTCGCTCTTCATAGACGAGCGCGGCGCCGAGCTGCTGGGCCTTGTCGTGGGCTTCGCTCAGCACCGGGAGCTGGAGCAGGCGGAGGCGCCGTTACGGTTCGTTTTCCAGACCGACGACGCGTTCACCTCTCTGTGGGCGCTGAGCCCTCCGCGGACGTCCAGTGTTGTCCCGCTGACTGCGGAGTGCTTGGACGGCGCTGGCACTGGAGTGCTGGTGATCGAGGGCGACCCCGTCGTGGACGTCGATGCGGGCGAGCCCGAGGACAGAGGCGGCAAGGCGGGTCAGCGCGAGGGCCCCTCCTGCCGGATGGGCGCCCGCTTCCAGTGGCAGATGGACCAGGTCCTCAGCTTTCCGGCCGTTCTCGAGCTCAGGCGCTCCCACGCCAGCTCGGCTACCGCCTTCAGCGTCGTCCTGTGGGAGACCCTGCGACACCTCTGCAAGTCAGCGCACCTGCTCGTGCCCCAAGGCAGCACGGACTTGCTGCATCCAGTCGTACAGGGGATGGTCCACGCGAATTTGTTGGAGCCGCGCTGGGGACCCACCAGGCCCGATGAGTTCCTCATGTCCCTTCTTCTGCCCCGCCCTCCAGCTCCATCTCCACCTCACCCTCCTCCTGCTCCCTCCTCCTCCTCCGTCCTCTTTTCCTCCGCTTCCTTTTCTTCCTCGTGGCTCATGGGACAGGACAGCGCAGCTTGGTGGGTCAGCTTGGCTGTTTCGGCTGTGCCAGCTTTAGGCAGCGGGCGCGTTTTCGCACTTGTGCGCCCTCTCCTCCCTTCCCCCCTCCCCCTTCCCCCCTCCCTCTCTCCTCTGTGCGGTCAGGTTCGTGTCGTGTCGACGCGGCGGCGGCCCCAGCGCGGGAGACCACGATTCAACGTCGCAAGTGGCCCAGAATCATCCGCCAGCGAGCGCTTCGCCATATCGGGGAGCCAGGATTGCCCAAGCTTCAACGATCTTCTCTGTGCTAGGAACCGAGGCCGAAGTCATCACGCCACAAACCTGCAGTGCCCCCTCCTCTCCCGCCGCTCCTGTGGCCTCCAGACTTGCGACGGAAGAGGGGTGAGTTCGCAGTCAGGGGTATCAGTTGGCGACGCCACGCGTATTCGCCACCGCTCTCGGGGAAGCCGCGCATCGCAGCCTGCATTGGCGCCGCAGCGTGGCGCAAATGCAGCTCGGCACTGTACTGTACAGAGCCTCTGCTCGGCGCTGGAGGACTTCTCCGAGGGCCTCTTCGAGGCGTCTCCGGGGCCCTTCGGAAATCTTGGTACCGCCTCGGGTTTTTCTGGGGACTCCCAGGGTATCTTGGGGTCCGGGCTCGGACCATCCTGCTGCCGTCTTGGGATGCGGCCGTCGAGCTGGGCGGGCTCAGGTGGCCCGCGATGCTTGAGGCGGGCCGACCCGGGATGCGCTTGGATGAGCGCCCGAGGGCGCTGCTCCTTCCGTGCGAAGGTCAATTTTCATGCGATCGCAAACATGGATCAAGGGCGCGTGGATTAGCGACGGGTCCGCAGACATGATCGCGTCGTAGATGAATTATCCTGGCGAAGGACCCAACCATCTGCAGTTGTGGGTACCGCAATTGTGCATATCTTCTTCGGTGAAGCTCCCTGTGGGGCCACGAAGCACTGCACTGGGTGGGGGGGAACGCATGCGGGTGGCTCACTGGGGGCTTCGGTGGAGCTCCCTATGGGGCCACGAAACGTTGTACTGGGTGGGTGCAAACGCCAAATTGGGTTTTCGGGACGCATGCGGACTGTCCCACTGGGGGCTTCGGTGGAGCTCCCTATGGGGCCACGAAGCGCTGTAGTGGGTGGGTGGAAATGCCAAATTGGGTTTTCGGGGCGCATGCGGACGGTCCCACTGGGACCTTCGGTGGGGCTCCCTGTGGGGCCACGAAGCGCTGTACTGGGTGTGCGGGACGCATGCGGACTGTAGCACTGGGACCTTCGTTAGAGCTCCTTATGAGGCCACGAAACGCTGTAGTGGGTGTGCGGGACGCATTGACGGTATCACTGAGACCTTCGGTGGGGCTCCCTCTGGGGCCACGAAGCGCTGTGCTGGGTGGGTGAAACGCAGGGACGAGGGAGGAGGGGGCCACGAAACGCTGTACTGGGTGTGCGGGACACATGCGGGCGACCCCACTTGGGGCTTCGGTGGAGCTCCCTCTGGGGCCACGAAGCGTTGTATTGGGTGGGTGAAACGCAGGGAGGAGGGAGAAGGGAGAGGAGGGGGAGGAGGAGAGAAAGAGGAGAAGGAGGAGAACGCGGGGACCGTTATTTCAAATCGAGGACCCGACGCCACAGGATGGTTGGGAACAAAATCAGGACGGGAGTTTTTTGGGTGTTTTCGGCCTCGGGGAGCCCTGGCCGGGCCTCGGAAGCGTGATTAAACGACTTCGGATGAAAAGCCGGTCCTGGGGAAAGGGTCAGGATTTCCAGGGACCCCGTATTGAAACAATCAGGACGTCGCATGTCTGGGTCCCGTTTCCATGGGAAATTGCGGGTTTCCGCCGCCGAGAGAGGCAGCACCGGCCGCTTTTTGGGGAGGGCACCTTCCCCGATCCACGGATTTGGCGACCGCGCGCCAGATCCATGGATTGCTAATCCATGTTTGCGCGCCCCCGATTAATGGGGTCCAGACGAGCGGAATTTCTCCAGCCCTCTCCTGCCAAAACCTCGGCGTGGGTCGAGAAGCTGGCCACCTGTAAGTCGGATGCGCGCGCGCGTCTCCTCCATCCCTCCTCGGGTCTCAACCGCCCTCCCTCCCTTCCCCCCTCGAGCAGGCTGGTCATCCCGAGCGAGGGCACCAGGCAGCGCCTCGTCGCGTGGATCGAGTCGCAGCACGCGAAGCTGTCGTGGGACCAGCGGCTGGAGTATAACATTCTGGGCCGAGCCGGGCGGTCGACGCGCGTGACGGGCCAGGTGGCAATTCTGGGTGGGCTCTGGCCAGGGGAGCCGCTGCCTGGCCCCAGAGATGTCCAAGAGGGCCCAGGGGGAGGCCATGTAGGCCTCCTCCTCCTCGTTCTCCTCCTCCTCCTCCTCCTCGTTCTCCTCCTCCTCCTCCTCCTCCTCCTCCTCAACCTCCTCCTCTCTGAGGCGCGTGGAAGAGCAAGCGGGCACTGGCCGCGCCATGCTCTGTTCGCGCGGCGTGGGCATGCTGGAAGCGCAGCGACCTCTGGGGGCACTTTTCGGGGAGATCTGGGCTGGATTCCGACATCGGATTCTCTGGAGAGTCGCTTCGTGGCCTGGGATTTGTTGGATCGGTGTGGGTCCCAAGAATACACGTGATCACCACGACCTTCATTCCCCTTTCCTCCCCCACCATTCTCTGCCTGTCCCCTCTCCTGGGAGAGGGGAGGGGTGAGAGGTGGTGGTGGTGGTGGTGGTGGTGGTGGTGGTGGTGGTGGTGGTGGTGGTGTCTGTTTCTTGGCCCCGCAGTCGGGATCCGCTGCGACTGGCAGCAGACGCGAGAGCTCTGCGGAGCGAGATATGCGGGACGGCCCCGGCAGATGGGAGCTGGCCTCCGCCTCAGACGTGGAGCGCTTTCCTCCTCCTCCTGCTCCTCCTCCTCCTGCCTGGTACGCAGGCGGCGCACAAGTGGTTACCCTGGACTGCGGTGCGCCCAAGGGGCAAGGCTGAAGAGGTGGGCCTTCTCTCGAAGATGAAAACGCCATGGACATAAACATTCGGGGGTGGACAGAACCCCTGACACGCCGATTAGTGAGTTGTCCGCTTTCGGTTTTCGAGAGGGCGCCGCGGCCGTCATTTTTCAGGCTTGCGCGCGCCAGGTTTGGGCCCGAGGTCGTTTTCACTAAACCACGTTTTGCCAAAGGGGATTCTGTCCATCCCCGAGACATACACTTTTGGCGCTCTGTGCGGATTTCTTGGATCCGGGCTGCCCCCGGTGGCGCCTCCGGCGCCGCCCTTGGCGCGCGCCGCGCGCCAGGAAGGTGGTCCAGAGCGGATCCAAGAAATCCGCGCGGAGCGCCAACAGTTTATATGCCGTTTGTTCTTCTCCTATTCCGAGAAGGCCTAGAAGGCCTCTGGCCTTAAGAGAAGATTTCCCGAAGCGAGGGCGTCTGCCGCCGCCTTCTGAGAAGGCCTGCCCCCTCAAAGATCCTCGTTGTTCAGTTTTCGGGTCATACCTCGGGTCTCCGGCGGCCGTTTTGGACGATCCCTGCATCCCGAAACGCTCTCGGCGAGGCGCAGCCACTGGAACGCATCCCGAGGCTTTAAAGAGACAGACGAAGTTGCCCGAAACCTCGAACCTCGAAAATCCCCCCCTCGGGGCCTGGCCGAAACGGAGCCCATGGGGCACCCAAGAGGCACTGGAAGGGCATCACGGGTGGTTCGTGTCGTGTCGACTAGGCGGCGGCTCGGCGCGGGCGATCGAGAGGTCGAACGGCGCCGCTGGCCCGGAACCGGCCGTGATCGAGCGATGCTTCGCGATCGGAAGTCCACTTTTCGTCTTCTAGTGGGGGTCAGCCTTTTGGGGGTTCTTCGTTAGATTTTCCTCGTTGTGGGCCGTAGTTGTATCAACACAGTTCTTCATTGGCTTTTCCGTGGTAACTCATTTCCCATATCCTAAGTCGGGGTCTTGTTTTCTTTGGACGCCCCGCGCAGCCCTCACACCTCACCTCACACCCCTCTCGTTCCCATCATCATGACACCATCCTATTAATCATCATAGCCATAACGATCACTATCACCATTACATCTTCATAACACCACATTATCATACTACGCAATCATCAACACCAGTACCGTCGTCATCACCATCGTCATCATCATCAGCATCATCAACTGCATCATCATCATCGTCATCATCATCATAATCATCATCATCATCACCATCACCATCATCATCACCATCATCATCACAATCATCATCATCATCATCATCATCATCATCATCATCATCGTCATCATCACCATCATCACCATCACCATCACCATCACCATCACCATCACCATCACCATCATCATCATCATCATCACCATCATCATCATTATCATCATCATCATCATTCTCAGCATCACCAGTGTCCCGATTTCTCTTTCGATGTTCTCTCTTGACTGGCGACATGAAGTGTTACGACATTGACTCTCCTCTCGGCGGTGTGCGGAAGCAGACCCGTACCGAATCCCCCTTGCAGCATATGGACGGCTTGGACGATGACGATCGGTCGTCGGCTACCTCAGGCGAGGTGGAGGCGACCATGATGCACACGATGCAGGCAATGATGAAGGACACGAATGACCCCTGGAAGGAGGTACGGGGCATGGCTCGCGAGAACAGGGAGGCCCTGAATGATGCGAAACAGGCGAAGGAGATGGCCACGTCCGCGAAGCAGGCAGCCCTAGAGGCGAGCACGACCGTCAGTAGCGTGGAAGACAAGGTGACCAAGCTCCAGGAAACGTCCATCACCAGAAATGACGCAGCGAAGATGATCGAGGAGAGTTTGTCGGAGTGCACTGCTCCGAGAAACATAGCTTCAACGTCCAACGCATCATCTCCTGTTGCTGTCATTGGGGGGCGTGCCCAACGCGTCGACCTTTGATGAGACGGCTAAATGGGCTATGACTTTCTGTGCCGGTTGCAACGTCCCAGTTCCCACGCCAAACAATATGTTTGGCAAGAGTGAGTTCAAAGACGTGTTCTTCATCAAGTTCGTGTCCGGCTCAGCGCGGCACGTGTTCTTCGATGCGATGCTTTCGCGAAGAAGCAGCCCGCGAGTTTAGGAAACATTGTGTGGGCGAAGCCAGCCCTCCCCATCGACATCCGCACGCAGCACGAGTTTCTTTTCGGGTTGCGTCGCATGCTGGCAAAGTGGGGTTTCAATGAGGCGTGCATCAAGGCCAGCGAGAGGCCAACGCGGACGGCTCTTCCTTGTCGGTTGCTGGGGCGGTGGTGGCCAAGACGGCGGTGAAGGACTTTCGCTTCGAGCTGAAGTGGGTCGACTTGGATTGGGGGAAGTGGGATGCATTGCGGTCGTCTGGGGAGCTCTCCGAGATCGCCACGGCGGCCCTGGCGAAGCTCGACGGGGCGAAACTTTCAGCGAGGTGAAGGGCAAGGGGTTAGGGGGGCGGCTCCAGGTAGGGGTCATGGCGGTGCGCAGACAGACAATAAGTTTCGGCTTCGTCCTTCGCGTCGGAGGGCGGCAAGAACGCGGACATATTCAGTGTCGGCCGTGACAGTGTACGTGTTGTTTCTTGGAACGTTGCGGGTATGCCAGAGTTGAAGCTAGTCTAGAGTTACAGTTACAGGAGTGCGCAGTCCATCGATGCCATGTGCTTACAGGAGACGCGCAAACCGAGTTCCAATCATTATGGCCCTAAGGTGGCTACTCGGTGGTATTGTCAGGCACGGCAGGTGCGCGTCCCGAATTTACCGGTGTAGGCTTCGTTATCGCTCCAAGCGTTCGTCCTTCAGGATCCGCGTTGGCACTGGGCGACGTGCGCCGTGCACTCTGCGCGCATGCATTTGTGTTGCAGAGCTCGAGCCGCTCGCCGTGCGCCGGTCGGGGTTCGCCTTGACGCGCGCGTCCTGCCTTGTCTCCGCGCTGTCGCAGGGCCAGCCATTGCGCAACGGCGTCGACCAGTTTCGCGCTGCTTCCCGCCTGCGCGCGGCCGCGCCCTCGTCGAAGTCCGCGGGGTTGTCCCTGCGGTTTGGTCTCGTGCGTCGGCGGCCTGTTGCGGGCTTACCCTGGCGGCGTGATTCGCGAGTTTGCCCCAAAGGCCTTGCGATCCGGCCATCGGAAAACGAGTCCCTGCCCACCGGATCGGCGACGGCGCCAAGGAAAGCCGATGTGCGCGCAATTTCTATAGGAGTGGGGGAGGCGGAGCGGGGGGGTGAGGAGGCAGGATGGCGAAGAGGAGGAGCGGGAAGCAAATCAGGGTGCTGGGGGAGGGGGGGTGCCAAGGGGGAAAAGGATCATGGCGTAGGGGGGTCAGAATTTTTCGCAATCGCATTGAAGACGATGATGCTTACTTCCAGACTAACGGATCAGATTATCTTGCGGGGTCCTACCGTCGGAGTAACTATCCTGACGCCGTCTTTCCGTATTTTGCCTTTGCTGTCCATGAGTTCCATAATTTTCAGTCGGTTTATGAGGCCGTGGTCTTTCAAATCTGCCCGATCCACGCGGTGTCCGAGTCCGGGTATCAAAACGCCACGACAGGACCCTGCCATGATTTTTCGACGGTCAAGCGATGCCCGCCGTCGACCGCCCGCTTCGGCCCAGGGCGTCCAGCTCATCCGCGACCGCCCGGCGATCCTGAAGGAGATGGCCCGCGGAGCCGGCGGCGGGTCGGGGTTCGGATGAAAATCAGGCCGCGCCCGCTGTACGTCAGTATCGCGCCGTTCAACGTATCACCATCCCCAGTGTGTCACCGGCATTTCAGCCCCACCACCCCACCATCCCAGTTGGGGATAGGCCCTTCGAAACCCGAAGGGAGCCGCTTTTACCTCCATTTAACTTGGTAAATCGGCAAATGTCGTTTAAGGTGCGCCGGTGGTGGTATGGATGGGTCAAACGAAGGTCACAGGGGGGGAAATTCTGTCGCTCGGCCCGCGCACGCCCTGCAATCGCGGAGGGGGGGTGTTGCACTGCCACGGTCCCTGGCCAGGGCCTGTCTTGGGCCTCAGAGTGGTGGCTATTCAAGAGGCTTCCGCCCTTCCGATTTTCGTTGGTCCAAATTGAAACTTTTGTTGACATTCCAGTGGCCTTCGGCCCATCTCGCCACCGTGTCTTGTGGGTCAGAGGCTTTTCGGGCGCCAGCAGGGGTCTCTTCAGCAACCTTGTTGGGGGGTGTCTTCTTTGAGGCAATTCCGGGGGCTTTTGGGGACCGTTTTGGGGGCCAATGGGGGCCTGATGCGGGTTTACCCCCCTCCCGTACCCCGCTTGCCCCCCCTGTCCCCGTCAATCCATGCGTGTGTAATCACAGCGTGATGTGTTGCATAATTCCTTTGCAATGCCTTCTCCTGGCTCTCCCACAGGGCCAGCGCTCCCCGCGGAGCGACCGTTGCCATTTTGGGTCGCTCCCTTGGGCGACAACGGCTGAGTGACTGATGCCCCCCTCGGTTCTCGACGGAGTGTGTGTGTGTGTGTGTGTGTGTGGACCGTCCTGGGCCCAGGATGGCCTTCAGCCACGGGTGGTCGTGGTGGTGGTTGTGTGCGGCTGCCGTCTTTGGGGAGCAGCAGCACAAGGAGGCACGAGCTTGGGGCCAGGCGTCGAAATTCTCGTCGTCGTCGTCCGAACATTGTTGCCAGTTGCGTTTCTCCTAGTTTTTCCTACTACTGATACCAGCTGCGTCGAAGTATCCGTCGACGTCTCTCATTTTTTTCCAAGTACGTTTCTCCTCCCTCGTCGTCCTTTCCCTCTCGGCCGACTTTCCTTTTTGCACGGCGCCGTCAACCGTCATTCGTTTTTTTGGCCTCTCCACCCAGAGTGGCGCTTGCGAAGCGACGCGACGGTGCTCTGGCTCAGTTAGATGGCCGCCCCGCATCCCGCCGCGCGTGTTTCGCCGCCCGGGATACGCATCCCGCCGCGCGTGTTTCGCCGCCCGGGATACGGAGGGGCCTGAAGGCGCGGCGGCGGCCAAGGTGATGGTGGTGATGATGGGGGGGATGCTGTTGAACTCGGGGATGATGAGGGTGGGCGTGGTGGTGATTATGACGATGATGGGGCCGGCATGCGGGCCTATCCGTCTGTCTGTCTGATGATGGTGGTGGAGGTGCTGCTGGTGCTGGTGCTGCTGGTGGTAATGATGAATACGATGAATGATGATGATGCTGGTGATGATGTTCATGAAGATGGTGATGATGATGATGATGATGATGATGATGATGATGATGATGATGATGATGATGATGATGATGATGATGATCATGATGATGATGATGATGATGAGTTGATGATGATGATCAGGATGATGATGATACTGCTGATGATGATGCTGATGCTGAGGATGATGCTGATGATGATGATGCTGATGGTGATGCTGATGCTGATGATGATGCTGCTGCTGACGACGATGATGACGATGATGACGTTGATGATACTGCTGATGATGATGATGATGGTGGTGCTGATGATGCTGCTGTTGATGATGATGATGATGATGATGATGATGATGATGATGAGAATGGTGGTGGTGGTTGTGATGAGGATAATGACGATGATGGTGATGATGTTGCTGCTAATGATGATGATGATGCTAATCACAACGACGATATGGTTGTTGGTGTAGTTGTTTTTGTCATTGTTGTTGTCATCGTTGATGATGATGGTGATGATGCTGATGATGCTGATGATGCTGCTGATGATGATGCTGATGATGGTGCTATTGTTGATGATGATGCTGATGTTGATGATGATGATGATGATGATGATGATGATGATGATGATGATGATGATGAGGAGGAGGAGAAGGAGGAGGAGGAGGAGGAGTTGATGATGATGATGACGATGATGACGGTAATGATGATGATGATGATGATGATGCTGCTGGTGATGATGATGATGATGCTGATGCTGATGCTGATGCTGATGCTGATTATGATGCTGATGCTGATGCTGCTGCTGGTGATGATGATGATGATGCTGATGCTGATGCTGATGCTGCTGCTGCTGCTGCTGCTGATGATGATGATGATGATGATGATGATGATGATGATGATCATGATGATCATGATGATGAGGGGGAGGAACAGTGAGCAGGATGAGGAGGAACATGATGAGGAGGAAGAGGAGGAGGAGGTGAAGGAGGAGTAGGAGTTGGAAGAGAAGGAGGAAGAAGAAGAGGGAGGGAGGGAGGGAGGGAGGGATTTTTGCATTTCACTCCCGGTCAGCCGTCTCGGCTGTCAGATGATGGCGGCGCTCGCTGGCTGTCATTGCGCACGGACAGGCCACGAGTAGATTCTTGGCATCGGCACCACTAGAAAAGTTCAAAAGCTGGGCGAGGGCTTCTAAAACCGTGGCTGCTAAAACGGCCCTCCCGGAAGGAAAAAACAACTTCCCGGAATGAGGCGCGGCACGCGAAACAGTCAACGGGCTTCTTCCCGGAAGGACGAAGACAACTTCCCGGAGGTCGATTTTAGCAGCCACGGATTTAGCAGCCCTTGCCCGGCTTCCGAAAAGTATCCCAGGAGGGCGGAAAATACAGCCAGTGCTGCACGCGACAGGTTTAGAACAGGGAGGAAGCAATGAGGCACAACAGCAAAACACAACGGTCTCCCAGCTCCCTTCGCGAACGCTCCTTCAACGGTCTGCGGCGGTGCTGGGAAACGCCAGTTCCTGTCGAGATATCTTTCGCTCAAGTGAACATGGATCACGCACAGTACCTGAGGCAGTGTATGAGGCGGCCAGACTCTAGATCGTGCTGGTGCGGAGCTCAACTGAACAGGGGCTCGCGTACAGTGCCTGATCACTCAGCTTGCGAAACCCCAGTCTTAAGTAGCACTCGCGGGGCGCACGCGGGGCGGACAAATCAAACCCCCCTAGTACTACAAAACGGGCGTGTCGGGAAGCGCCAGTTCCTATCGAGGCAATTTTCCGCTCAACTGAACAGGCCTCACGTGCAGTACCAGAAGGGGAAGTTACCTTCGCGCTTTTTGCCGGGCGACGGACACGGCAGCGGAAACGCAACACGCGATTATTTCGTCCAAACCCCGAGAGATGAGGGAGACCAGAATGGCACTCACCAAGAATTCATGCACGTTCGCACGCTTGAACGCCTATCCCCACCTGTCTGACCCTGCTCACTCATCATGCTAAGGACTTCTGTATGCGATCGAAGGGACCGAGTCCTAAATTGGGATCTACCGCCCACGGTGCAATCGCCGCACGTCGCTTTGCCGCCCTTCTATCTCGCGCTTCCTGTCGGTTCCTCGCGATGCGGTCACGAATCTGCGAGGACAGGGAAACAGGGGAGAGCGGAGGGGGCGGAGCAAGCGAAGCAGGTGCAGGGGTACCTACACCTACCTCTGCTGCCACCTGTTGGGGGCCTCCAATGAAGGACCTTAAGTTGACATCCTCATGCTCTTCGTCAGCCTCTGGCAATCCTGGCGATCGAGGGATCGCAGCGGGATCGAGGGCATCCTCGTCCCCCGGAACTACAGCAGCAACCAGTTTGAAACGCTCGATTTCCGGGTCGGTACGTTGTTTGCCCAAACTACGTGAAACAAAATCTGGGGCACAACCTTCGGCCACCCCTAGATAGGGATCCCAGGACACATAAAAACGCATGAGGGCATCCCGAACTTCGTCTGACTCCAGCATGTCAGTTGGTGGTCTGTCTGGATCCCCCTGTTTTCACATAGTCTGCACAGCCTGGGCAGTCACATCTGCGATGCATATACAAATGTTCTCGGGGAACATCTGTCGCCGTACGCCATTCATGGTTCGTCGAATCATATTCAAGCAGAACCTCATTTCTTCGTCTGCCATGCGAGCATCTTCCTTGACCAGGAGTCGCCAGCAGACTGGTGTGTAGCTGCTGCATACGTAGCGAGAGAATTCGAGTCGGGGCACGGGATGTTTGGCCATGTTCGCATTGGTCGAAATCTGTGCAGCACGCAGCAGGCGACGACTCAATAGCACGCAAGGGGGGATAGGATACTGACCTTACTGCCTGCAGCCGTCAATCACACGGTTGTGGGCGTTCCATCAAGCAGCATGCCCCCACCGCCACGTGTACTGCAAACAGCTCCAACATGGCGCAGAGGCGAGAATTCCCCACTGACAGCGGCTCCATCTAGCGTGGCGTGACTGCTGTTTTTCCCCAGAGCTCGTCGTGCGTGCGCAGGCGAGGGGGGTCACCAGCCTCGAACTTATCCCTATCCCTAAGATTGACACGCCAAAAGGCAATGACAATCTTAGGGATGCGCCCTAAAAAACTAAGCATCGTGATGAGGCGATGCCCGGCTTAGGGATAGGGATATGCTCCAGGCTGTTAAAGGAGGGCCACTCCCTTCGGCCCTTACGCGAGGCCGACCAGGCCTCGCACGGCGGACCCCCTCGCGAGGTTACACTGCCTTGCGAGCCCTGATGTGCTCGTTCCATGCATCCAGCGTGGATCTGCTCATCATACCCCCAAGAGTCGCATGAATAACGAGGTCTATGGACAGCACACATGAATTGTATACCTCTGCATGGTGGGACCGCTCCACCTGTGCCTGCACATCCCCTGCCCGACGCCTCCCACAATAGAGGTTTGCCGCGAAGTACTCCACTCTCCTTATAGCACAAGGAATCGGATCACTGGCCACCCCCGTATACCGTGCCGTCAGAAACAGTCTTGTAGGATACCTTTCCGTGCTGTGCTGGGTTGGTGGTAGCGGCGGCGGTGCAGCCGCAGGC